CTCAACGGAAGTCCTCATCAATAATGAATTTCGTGTGCCGAGGCAGGAGAGAAAGGAATTTATCCGCCTTTGCTATCTTTACCTGATGATCAGTCAAATGGATTGCGTGTTTTCAGATCTCTCTACCACATTACACGTCTCCTCGCTTCCTAAACGAAGCAGTAAGTCGTTACCTCAACTTTTTACTCCTCAAGCAAACGTACACGGATCAATTCTTCACGCCATGTTATGATTTCGATGTCGTTTGGCATACGCATCAAGTCAGCGTTCCATTCTAATAGCCTTTCATTTTTGTTCAGATCGTTTTTAAATGACTGTTACTTTTCATGTAAACTTCTTTCAAACGGCAGAACTTATTCCGCTCGTCGGAATAATTTATCAATCGTTCACAAATCACAACCAAATGAATGGGGTGTAGGTGGGTATAAGTGGCAGCAGTTATTTCCTCGAACGGTAGAAGGGGCCTTAAAAATATTCCCTTCCCAAATACTTACAAAGTTTCAAAATTGTCTCATCAAGTTTGGAAAATTTTTGATTTGTCTATCTTTATCTGGAACTCCTCGGGTATATTCCTTTTTTGTAGTTGCCGGTTTCGCTACGAGAATATTTTTGGTGTTCGCTTTCATTTGGTATCAAAACAAACAAGCAGGAATATATCTTCGCGTAATTTGTTTAGGTTCATCCACACAGCTATCTTCGAGACTGCACTGCCATTTTTGGTTGGTTATTAAAGCATGATGACACCGTAAATGATCGATCAAAAAACAGTAAACTGTTAAAGGGTGAAGCACTCACTAAACGGTTGTGGGCTGCGCACTTTCAGGATCCTTTTTGGAGGAGAGGTTGTATGTACAGGTTAGAGCATTTAATGCCAAACCAATCTATAATACCATCTATCAAGTTTCCACATTAATCCATTCACGTGCACAAAGTTTGTTGCCTACCATAAAAAATGCATTATTTCATTTGCATTGAAAACTGATCATCCACTTGACGTGCACCAAAGATGATGAAGGAAAAGAGTTCATTTCAGAGGTCACCCAGCACCATCATTTCTTGGCTTTGAAAGTCAAGATTTAAGTAATATTACTTACGGGCATATGCATATTCCGTCAATCGCACTCAAGGATATACCACTGCAACGCGAACAATTACGCTTGAAATTATCCTACGGTGGTAAGAAGGTAACAACGTTCAATGCGGATCTTACAACCAAACAGGTTACATTGTTAAATTTCATGAAAAATTCAGCATTATTGGGTAACATGTGAAAGTTATTCGTCTTACACGTTTCAGTTTTAGCCTCATCCATCGTAGCCCGTGAATAAGCATAAGTTTAAGTCGGAAGCAAGTGAATGGGGCTAAAATTCATGATGGTGAGGCGTACTGCCCAATATTTGACGCACGTAACATTGTCCTTACATTTAATGATATAATGCGAAAATTACCGCTAAAATAGAACAATCACGTAATCCCAGATAACTATCCATTGAATTTGTTCAGTTTTTGAGTTGATTATTCCTTAGTTCAGCTAGAAAACTGTTACTTTTTTGGTAGAAACTGCAACTGCTTGGGAAAATAACTCATTCAATCACAGTTTGGATAGTTGTAAGATTTCCAAGAGGTCATGGATAGCTGCAAACAGTTCGGATAGTTGTAAAATTAGAATTACGCATTACCGCAATAAAGTTAGAATGTTTTAACAAACTTGACATCGTTTCAAACGCTGATGTTTAGGTAAAGAAATACCCTATGTTAACGACACTGAATAGGCTTCATTCTAAGAAATGAAGGATTTATTAACCGAAATTTCAACAACATACCCGAACGGATACAGATTTCACTAACGATTTCAAAAAAACTCCGCAAATGTTTTATGCCTGTATTTCGTGTATGTTACACGATAGTGCAATTTATGCTTAACGCGCTCTAGCATAGTAATTCTCATAGGAGGTGAAATTCTCATTTTGCGTAATTTAGAGGTGTCAAGGGGTATTAGAGGAGGTCGGGAAATTCGTATTCCGTACAGTTGTTATGTTATGATAGAACACCACTGTGATGGTGTTTTTTATCTTGGGTATTTAAATGCGATTAGTTAATGACAACACTCTTCATTGTTGTATTTTCTGAGTATCATTAGTTCATTCTGGCCTAACACGGTTTTAATTTCGACTATCAACACTCATCAACGTATCCATTAAATAGTATATGCTACAGAATAAGAAACTGCTTTGAACTGTGTTATGAAATGAGACGAAGGGAATGAGAAAAGTTCATCAAGAGAACGATATTCACATGTAATAGCTATGAGAGTGAATAAAACACGTCTGAAAAGAATGAGAATTCATCTAAATCATTTTGAAGTGAGACAATAGCTTTTAATGCATGATGGTTTTTTTCCGTTCGTTCCTGACGTTACATGTAGAAGTAGTAAGTTCTTGTATCGCGGTGAGGGGGGGGGGGGGGGGGNCTAACGGCGGCCTGCCAGATCATCAAAAGGGGTAATGGGGCAACCGAACGTAAGAACCACTGCTCTAGCATGTAATTTGATTAAGATTCTCTTATAGGTCACGAAAACAGGATTCTCATTGGTATGGCAACCAACAGAAAATTTGGCATCTGTATCGATCGTAAAGTTCCCGTTCGAGAAACACAATTCAAAGGATCTTCTCGTTGAACTCGAACTTTTCGATAAAGTTTTCCTTCAGAAGAAAGATCTTTTGAAATTGATCGGAAAAACTTCATTAGAACAAGTAGGTCAATCATCTGTCGAAATTACCGAATTGTTTTATAAACTGAAAAAATGTCCCATCTATTGAGCAACAATATTCACAATGAAAAATTTTCTCTAGAGCCTTCAACTACGTGCATGTAGGAATACATCAGGTGCATTTAAGAGCTATCAACACAATGGGCTAATGAAACGTGTCGAGAATCTTAGAATTATGGAAGTATAGTATATCCTGCCATAGACTGAAGTTGTAAAATAACTGAAAATCCTAATTTGTATCGATTAGTACAGATCAAATTCTTTCATTTCCTCGAATGTTGGAGATTGGCTAATGGGCAATGATATTTCAGTTATTACCTCCTTTAAACTCGAAAACATCCCAGAATATAGCTCAAATAAAGATGCGATGTCGTGAAGGTGATGGCGATTACACGGCTAAAGTCAATGTTACAACAAGGTAATGTTTCGATTCCAGCTTCATTTAGAAGTTCTGACTTACAACTGTGAGACCTCGAATTGTGTGTTCGTTAAGCGGCAAATCTTGTGTCTTCGGCCATTTTGGAGTGCGAAATCGGACTTTTAGTATGCCATTCGACGTTGCTGTCCAGTTTCATAAGCGTACAGGATATTGAAGATGTTTTACGTTCAACACTTACAGGACGCAGAAAAATGTTTATGAATTTAGCATCTATTAGGATCGACGAATGCACTGAAAATGATTTCTTTTCGTTGAAAGCAGCAATTGCTAATGTTGATTATCAAACATTGTTTCAGTGAATTTTCCCATTGAGTCGTCATTTTTTGCAGTCTTTCGTTGAACTGTGAACTGCAATTAATGGCTGGTGAGTTTATGCNAGTTTATGCAACATGAGCTTGTTCCCGACAGTCGCCTTTGGTTCTTATGTCAAGCTGGCGCATTGAACCGCAGCGCTCTCCAACCACAGATGACTGTCCATCTTGCGACCCACACGTTTGTTCACAGATCTTTTTCAAAATTTAAGTTAATATTATTTCTGGAGTCCGTGAACTATATCGAATTTTATTGAACAATACAACTGCAGCATTAATATACTTGAACCTTCGTTAAACGTCTGTTTTTGAAACTTTCTTACAGTTATTTGTTTAGCTAATGGAATAACTGTGGCAAGATGAATTCGAGTATGTTTAGATTAGTCGATTCGCGTGATGGGGCAAGATATACAGTTCAGATCGTGCATAGTGCTACATTGTTACTTTCAATGATTCTCGTTTATGGCAGAGAGCAGAAATTGCTTTGTATGGCTCATCTAATTGGCGCCGATAGCCTCCCTACACGCGACCAGCTCGATCCAAATCTTGTAAGCTTAAAGAATCGAAATTCTTAAAATGCGTCATCTATCAGAGATGAAATAATTTCGGAACTTCACTCATTGAAATGAATATAAAACATTCTTAATGTCTAACAAAATTACTGCATGAAATGATCGATTGTTCTCATATAGTTCAAGTGAGCGCACTCAAATGTTTTGGCTCCTTATATCTCAGTCATTGTTCACTGGAAGCAACAGCAATGTTATGAAAATTTCTATCAACCTATTAAGACCATATATTTTAATTGAAAAACATAAGTAAACCAAGAGTCGTATGAAATCACTTTGAAGTACGTTTTGTCAGCTTCTTTGAAACGCGCCCTAATTGGTACACTTCAAATAATACTTTCTCACTCCTTTCATTTTCTAACTGATGTATTGCCGATTTTAGCAATTTCTACCTCATCTATCAACTGCGGACGAGCGTGCTTTTGTTATAATGAACAAAGATGGGGATTACGCGATTATAAAAGGTAAATGGTCAGGATTCACACGTAAGGTACCGGCAGAAAAAGGCCAGAAAGCCAAGCCAGGTAATCCTGGAAAGCTTCAGGTACGCTTGAATAACCTGAAAAGCTTTTAATGTTTGCTGTTCACGGTAACCAAACTTTGTCTGCTGATACTTCCAGTTAAAACAGCTTATTAAAAATTTGATGATGATGATATTGTTGATGATATGTATTCAAATTTATGACCTTTCATATTCATCTTATATCGTGCCACATTTTCAACATCATTTTCGCCTCTTTTTTTCGTTTATGACAAGCCAGAGCTGTCTCTCAACACAGTTTATCTATCAACATTTTGCATAACTGACTCCCCAATGGGATATTTTTGATTCTATTAGATTCAGATTATTCTTCAGTGGAAGTGCTTTTTACGGACCAATCTGTCACGTCTTATGTGCACTTAATGTTATAGTGCTGTTATTCATTTATAAAATATGCTTTGAAATCTTACAGCTTAAAGAATTTCGTAGTTCAGGTTGATGCATTCAATCTTCTAAAGAATACTGTGCAGAAAATAGAAGTTCCTGGACCTGAGGGTAGCACACTTTTTGTCGTAGGAGGTTTGTTCTTTGAAACTATTTATAATTTCGTTCTATTCATGACAAAAGATTTGTAAAGACAACCATATCATGAGACCATTGTAAAGACAACCATTCTATAAACAGACTTAGGATTCAGGGTTAGATAAAGTTTTGGAAGAGCCACCTTTAGTGCTTCAGTTCTATTTGCCAGTTGATAACTGTGAACTTTATAGAAAATCTATCTGTGATAGGGAATTCTCTCATAAGAGAACGTAACAGATAAAGTGTAATTTTTGATAGTTATCAAATACCAACGATACTCTTTAAGACAGCATTGTAAATTCACGTATAACAGTGCTTCTCAACCTTTTTTTTTCTCACCCGTACCCCCTACGAAATTCGCAACAATTAGTTCGAATGTCCTCGAATCTCTCGCAATATCCACTGCTATCTCGTCAGTGTGTGTCTCTAGTGTAAATAAGTGTATACCATTGGTGTTCACTTATTTCAAGTTGAAGTGTACGCTCGCTTTCTTTATACACACATGTATGCGTTGGAAGTCAGCCCTCGCCTACCTTTAAGTATAAAAAATGCAATATTATCTCGCACCTCTTCGAATACTACCGCGCACTCTTGGTTGGGAATCCTGACGTATGAGACAATAAAATTAAAAGGAAATAAATTTCGTCCATCGGCGTGATGTACTTCATTTTTGTATTTCACGAATTATGCATTGCGAGGAGAATTTGAGAACGTTGTATGAAATGAAATGCTTGATTGTAGATGCACAAGCTAGATTACCTGGAAAGAGAATACAGTGCAGATCAACTCTTACTGCTGAGCATTTGGCGTGTGTGTTCAGTGTGGCAACGTTGTTTGTTCTGTGTAATCCAGACAAGGTGTCAATTTTTATGCTTTTCTTAAATGCCACCGAGCAGATCTTATTCGACGTTTTTCAATGATCTCTTGTATGATGAATGAAAACAAGTGGCAATAATAAATTCAGATTCGTTCACGAAATGATACAACAGCAATTGCTTATCAATGCCACAAATGGCCATTAACATTGGCTTGTGGTTATGGAAAGACGTTACCGTCAAACAGATACTTGGCCACGCAACAAGAAGGTGTTGAAGGTGTTGATATCAGTTCAGCAATGTTGCTCTTATGTGGTGGAGGATACGACGCAGCTGCATGTGGCGCTTGTGGAGCTTGTGGTAAATATCAGTGATTAGTAGTTGTTCAGTTGAACATCATTTTGATTCATTTGATTCTGTAGCGATATATTTCAGGTGCGTGTGGTGCATGTGGTGGATGTGGCAGTTGCGGTGGTTGTGGAGGCTGTGGAGGCTGCGGATGAAGATGATTAATGACTGACAGCTTGATTAATTTATTTGGATGAGGGGAACTGATTGCTGCGATCATACCATGCATGCTATCGAATCGAATTGCATCGAATTTTCCCATCAGTATCGTAAAATGACTGAATTATTTATTGAAAAATAGCCTGGTTGATCGTTTGATCATTCTTTTGATTGCATTGCGCCTTTAAAACGTGCTGGTTCAGATGTGTTGAATAATTGTGATGTGATCTCATCAATGAATTTTCGTGATGATCTATAATGAAATTTGTTTTTAATTTCATTCGTCTTTTACAGTCTATTCATTTCAATGTGCTAATCATTATTATAATTTTCCGCCTATCTTTCATGTTCCACCTATCTTGTTTTGCAGACATGAAATTATTCGACGATCCTTTAAAAATCTGAGAACCATTTTTTTTATTTCGAAAAAAAGAGGACGGAAGAATTCGCCGAGGGAATTTCCAAGAAAATCGAATTCATCTCGAAACCAGTTGGCAAATTAGTGAATCAATTCCAAATGCACTTTACTGAATTTTTGAACCTTTTTTTGCGAACTTCTGTCACATCTCTTTGTGTTACTTAAGCATCTGCTATCTTTAATCTTCTCATTGGGCAATGTTATCTATTCTGCCAGCATACGAATGGAGAGGATTTTATGGATTACGGATTGCTTTTCCGCAAAACATTTGGCCATTTTTATTTATCTCATCTACAACCAAAAATCGTTATTTGCAGTGTATGTGATATTGAAAATGAAGGGGTAAACTCATATGTTCTTCACGCAGCGTGATTTGCACTGAAATTGGCGATGAAGATAAAATTATTTTCTCTTTTCGTGCATCATTTCAAATCTGTTTATCGTATCTGGTTTTGCTATGATCGTTTTGCCTGTATTCACAATTGAGTAGTTTTTCGAAAAGAAAAGATGAAGGCGCACAGTGATCAGAATTTAAAAGTGAAGGAAAACATTCAGTTTAACAGACCAACAATATTGTCATGTTTATCTGCATTGCTGGATAGATCTTTCTTTGAAAATATTCACACATGAAGTGCATTCTGATTAGTCAATTTATTGTTTCGATAATAGCTCATTCAAACCACATCTGCTTCAGATAAAAATCTAGGGGAATAAACATCGCATTATGTCGATATGATTCTTCGGAAAAATACCAAACTTCGTTTGCACTGCTTTCATGACTGTTCATTGCATGCAATATTATAGTTCATTATAAATTCGTAAATTAAGTGTTCGTTTTATCCGCAGTATTGAAACTTTTGTCATTGTTGTGGTTGACCCATATTCGTTGCTTATTAGTTTTTATTATGCCCATCCTTGCAAGAATACACCTGTTCAGAAAGTATCTTCTAATTAGTGCGTTTAACGTTCACTGTTAGAAATGCTGCTTGCATCATTCGTTTTGTTCAAAATAGAAGATGAGAATCGTGACCTAAGTCAACTTCGTGAAACTTCTGAAAGGATTTTTTTCTCGTTTCCAACCATTGGCTAAATGCTGAATTACCCTGTTTCAATGGTCACAGCAGAAAAACGCAGTCTTTTGTGCTCGTAAGAAATTAAGTATCCAGTGCTATATTGGTACCGATGAATTTTCAATTGCTGCTTATAAATCTTCAATTAATTTACATCCCTGTGCAACTTGTTCATTGATTGATTTCCCAACTATTATTGCGCTAACAGTTCGTATCTGTATTTGTTATCACATTTTGTGAATCTTTAACTGTATTACTGTTGTGTTTATGGATATGAATTGATTAAACTTTGAACTTTCTTATATTATATCTAAAAACATTTCAATAATAAGGCAAATTTAATGCAACAGCATTTGATCTTGCAGAAAACATAACAGTGAGGCAGTTCTGAAGAATCACTCTCAGTTGAGAATAAATATTCTATCAGATCAGTGAGTTACATAAATACCTACGTCAGGCATCGGCAACCCACGGCTCGCGGGCCAAAATTGGCCCACCGACAATAATTTTCGGCCCGTCAGATGAATTTGAGAATTTGATTTTAAAGGCGCAAAAAAAGAAAAGAAAAAAGGCTTTAAATTATTTAGTTACTAGCTACTAGTTTGAAATTTGTTAATCACGTTTCCAATATAGTTAAAAAAGCTACGGTAGCCCGCCGGTCAGTTGCTCGGAAAAATTTCGGCCCGCCGTCAAACCTACCTGCCGACCGTTGACCTATGTCATGGCTCAAACTGTTGTTTTTTCGATTGCATTTTTTAAATGAACCACAACTGAAAACTCAATTCTTACAAAAATGATTAGGTTGATTGATGCTAATATGCACAACTTCCAATAATATTTCCATTCATCATCAATAGATAAAGCAGTTACAGTCGCATACAAAATGTATCATACATCAGTTACGAAGCACATGTCATGTATAACCAATCAGCGAGTGCAGTCTAATTGAAATTTCTCTTGGTTTTTTCATTGATAGGTAATCGTGGTCGTATCCTTTCAACACTATCAATGTCAATGTTCTCTTAATTGCTTTCATAATCTTAATGAGCATAATAAGATTACCATAGATGGATACGCTAATGACAAACAGTAGCTACGCTATCGCTGATCCGTTAAAAAAATGTTTGGGTCGTTTCAAACAATGCGCTGTCACTATTATCGCTAAAGCAATAGCGAAACATTATCGTTGAACCGTTAATTAAGCAAAATTAGTCCGCTGTTCACTATCGCTATCACTATCACTATTCGCTAGCTTGGAATCTTCTAAAATTTGCAATTGCACCACTCATTTGTACGTTCACATTCTTCAACAATGTACAAACTATATTCAGTTTCATAAATCAACAATCATTAAATTAGTTCATAACGCTAGCACCAGTACAAACGAAGATGATTTGTAAGAGCAATCCTATAACACCCTCACAATCCAGAACTAGGAATTAGCTCTCTCCTCCTTTATACATTATCAGGACGTCATAAGCAATCCAAGTTTGAAATTTCATCATCACGTTTTCAATATAGTTAAAAAAGCTAAAGTCAGAGCATCACTCAATTACGGTAATAAACGCTATCGTCGGGTTAATACACTCGCCATATTGTAATCATCTGCACCGAACACAGCTGCACATATTATTATGCGAATAAATATCAAACATATCCTTTCTCAACGAGAACAAAATTGGAGGAAACTGCCACCCAACTTATTTGAAGCCAATTAGCTTAGGGATCTCAGACAGAATGCTAGTGCTCTATTTATCGGTATAATTGAATAATCAACTTCTAACCGTTCGAAAGAGTGGGAGCAAAGGAGATTTAAATTTAGTGCAGTGTTACAGCGCAAACATATATTTACGTACCTTAATGTTGGAAAAAATATGCATTTACTTGCAGACGAACAGATAGCGGAAGACGGCGGAAGTAGTTCGCTGAAGCGTTATCGTTCGCGAAAAGGTAGCTCTCTAAAGCGATATCCAAAGACAGTAGCGGACACTGTCGTCCGAAAATTCCGCCATTTAAAATCAGTAGCGAGCTGTTGACCATCTCATATTCCATAACTATAGCAGTGGTAGCAAAACTAACGATAACTATCGTTACCATCATTATTATTGTTCTTTCATTATTATTCTCATTATTGTTATTATTATTACTATTATCATTATTATTAGTATTATCATTATTATTATTATTATTATTATTATCATTATTATTATCATTATTATTACCGTTATTATTATTCATATGATTACTGTCTGTAAAAGTGCATGTTATTGTGAACAATCGAGAAGTATAAATAGAGTATATAAAGATAAAGCTATACTCGTTGTTGTTGTTGTAAAAATTTGGCGGTAATGCTGGTGTGTTTCTAGAAGTCATCGATTGCCTTAAGCCTTTCTTGCATGTGTGAATGCCTGGCTATTACTGCTGCATCATCATCCATGCACACATAAGAGCAGCTCGCCGAACACAACGTCCGAGTGAGCAGCGTCAACTAGGCACTACCAAAAGGCGTTCCTGATCCATCCAATCGGTTCGCAGTCGCTCCGAATGCCATCAAGAAATGCTGTGATCAGTTTTGTGCGCTGATGCCATATTCATGCATCAATTTTCAATTTAGAGCATTATTTCATCATGTTACTATTTGCGTTCATCAGCAGTATCTCTGTTGCTAGTGCACGTTCATTAGCCACTTGCACTTGTATTCATTTCAATGTGAGTGGTTCATTTCAAACGCCCAACTACCCTCGTTCCAAACCAGTCTCATCGAGCACATGCATTCTCTACAGTTTCATCGCACCAGCTGATCATATCATCGAAATCCTCTTTAACTCATTCGAATTTCCACCTCGTACAGAAAGGTAAAGTTGATCAAATTTTGATTGGCGACCAATCACTCGTTTTTAGTTGTGGTGATTTTTTGAGGTTATTCGATGATATTCCTGATGGCTCAATTGATGAACATACTGCATATAGTGGCGAATTCTGCGGCAGAGAGGTTGGATTCCATTTGCTTGTCAACCACATTAACAAAGTTTTGAGCTCAGCAGTTTTTATCAACGATTGTTGAGAATGAAGCAAGAGGAATATACTTAATTTTTATGACCGCTTGATTCAAACGATGTGTTTAAATCAGTTTCCAATCCGGAAAAAGCAGTGTCAGAGTAACAAAACGATGTTAGTGTGAAAATTAGTATTATTATAAGAATGCATACCATAAAATATGGTGGCGAATGAATATATGATACAAAAATGTTAGCGTTCATTCAACAAGATCAAGTTAGAGTTTATATAAACAATTTTCATGGTTTTTGATGGTGCTAAGAAAATTCAAGCCGAACTGATACATTTGTGCATTAATACCAGAAGTGCGTGCTTTTGCCATAGGCATTAGAATAATATCTTATGGTGCTAGCAAAGCTTTTGCCTGTTCTTACAACACCGAACAAAATTTTCGCATTCAGATCGAGCCAGGTCGTAAGTTCATTTCACTCTCAAATCATTTCGTCTTTCACGTTCAATTCAGCGGCATTACAAGAGGATTTCAGGGTGTGCATAAATTCATCTCGAATGGTAAGTTAACAAAGATTACGAGAATTTGCCCGTTCTCACTATTTCATTATAAAGATCACGGAACTGAACCATAACGATACGATCAAATCACTTAGAAGACACTCGTAATCAGCAATATAACATCGAAATTGCACATTATTTCGCTAAGAGTAAACATTACCGAGATAAGCTGTATTACATGTGTTATAAATAGGATTCGAGTAGTTCCAAATTATAACGTATTAGCGCGTTAAATGAGCATCTTTCAAAGCAATGAACTGTTAATTTCCACTTTTGTCTCAATTTCGTTGTTCTTAGTACTACCAAATATGGAATCGTTTCATTTTGGTCTTTGTTAATCATTGTCTGAGGGGAGCGATATATATTTTCTTCTTGTTTAATCTCATTTCTTGATAGAATCATTCATTGATACTCGACAAGGAACAGTGAACAGGTAGTCGTGCATATTAATTAAAACTCTGAATGTAGTGCTGTTTGAAATGAATTCAGCAGGGCGAGCATCAATAAAAATACTTGTCAGTCTCAAAATTCGGATCTGACATCGCAAAGCTATAAGGAATATCCGTAAATGAGCAAAATGTCTGAAATACAAATCCGAAGAGCAAATACGCAGTTATGATTGCATATTCCCAAAACCCTATGTGTTTGACTCATGTCGTAAAGGTATCAATATTTCTCTAAAATTCAGAACGATTCCATCAGAATGCAACTGAGATTCAACCGTGTCGCTATAGTATCGAAGCTGCCGAAGGGAACGTATTTTCGCCTCAATATCCACATTATTATCCGTCAAACTCAAACTGCACGTATTTTTTCCCTATGCGGAAAGCACATAAGTTAATGCTCAAATTGAAACTGCTCGATTTTCGACCATTCTCGTGCTCAACTGATTATATCGACATTTATCAAATGCATCCAAAGGTTGTTTCCAGAGATACCAACAACATCCTGTTCTTTTTCTTAACAATCCAATTTCGAAAGAAGTGACTGATAGAGAATTTGAATCTCTTTTCGTGTCA